GAATAAATGGTATCATCCTGCTACCGTTTTCATTGGGAGGGCAGGAATGGCTGGTCTTTTCCCTGAAGAGACAGCCTGACCACTTCTCCAGGCTGCACGAGAGCTGTGCTGTGTGACCATCAGAGGAAGAGGAGAGGCTGTTATGTGCAGGATGGCCAGAATTCAAGCAATCTGGTATATATGTCATAAAGCCTAGTAAACTTTATTTCAGGTTTTTAAAAGCAGCATGCAAGTCTTATCTTTCTCATATTTTACATGTCATCCAATTCTGGATGCTGTTGAAGATGCTATGAATTGCCTGCTCTTCCATGGCTTGCAAATGGTCTGTGCTTAGGGAGTGCTGCAAAAAACCCCCCGTGCCTCAGATCCAGGCATTTCTGAATGTGGGATGTTGAGAACAGATTATTTTCAGCCTCAGCTATTTTCTGACTTTAAGACTATTCCTGATAAGCCTATGTAGTCAGGAAAGCTTCAGTGATTTCCAGCTCCAGCAGGAGCCTAATCCGAATGTCCTGCTATTATCAGTATCAGTAACATGTTTTACCAGAGACTTTGGTGAACCCGAGATTGGGCCTTTAATTATTATCCAAGACTCATTCCCTGGTCCTGGATCATCAGCTGTGGCCAGCTTTCACTGGTCCATGTAATGCATATAGCCACAAAATACATCTCCTTTTCCAGGAATCTGCAGAGTCAGCTGGCTGCTGCCATGGGCTGTCCAGACCCTTGGGAGCCCTTTCTTGCTGCAGAGCAGTTTCAGTTTCCCTGGGCATCCTCTGCCCCCTCCAAGGCATCCTGGCTACAATGCTTTTAATGGGCATCTGCAGACTCCTCATCAGTTAGTGTTAGCTTTGGACCAGCACATGTAGGCGGTAGATATGAGGGAAAACCATATAATTCCCAAGATTACTGTTCACAGCATCTTGTGCAGTGAGATAATGCTGAGGGCCCAGGTAGACACTATCTCATTTTCTGCATGTGGAAGCAAAGGACAGTGTTCCCTTCTATCGACAGTGATGGAAATTCTTTTTGGCCAGGTCTCTCTCCTATGATATATATCTGTATATCATCAGTTTTGCCAAGGTTGGGACTTGCTGACAGCCAGGTGATTGCTACCACAATTATAAATAATAATACTAATAATAATATATTCAAGAAGGCTTCAAGGATGTGCACTGTACCCCTCTGCAAACTGATTTCATAGTGGCTTGATTTCATTTCAGTTTAACAAAATGCTGAATGTGCATAGTTCCTCCTCATTTTATCTTAAAATAGGACATCTAAATAAGGCACTCTGTAGGCCTTTCCCAGTCTCTCCTGGCTGTCAGCTTTCACTGAGCTTCCCTACACCTCCCACTGCATTTTTCTCCAGGGTAGGAAGAGACTCTGCAATGTAAGTGGGATTATTCATGGGTGACAAATGTAGCCCGGTGTGATTGTGGGACAGAGAAAAGCAGATACAAACTGCAGAAAATCTGAGAAGCGGAGTGGGGTTTTTAGAGGGGGTTACGTGCCATAATGTCTTATACAGTGGAGGGCTGATTCTCTGCTGTGTTAAAATGCAGCCTGGGTTTAGCCTTTCCATAAGCTGTGACACTGGGGAAACTGCTGCTGTCTGTGCCATGGGGGCACTTCGCTCTTGCATGGTGGAAGGCTTTAACCAACCCAGGCTTTATTTCAATGCAGTTGAGGTTCGTCTTGCAGAACCATGCATCAGGGATGATCTCTGCGGTGTCACCAGAGCCACTGAGATGCATGGCAATAGTTTGACTTGATGATCTGCAAGGTCTTTTCTAACCTAGTCAGTTCTATGATTCTATGTCCAGCACGCTCTCTGCAGTGGCACAGCCCTTCATGCACTACTTTCCAGCAGTGGTGGAATGCCCTTATAAAAGCCTATATCCCCAAGTACGTGGAGAACTCCACGGCAGACTCTCTAGAACTCCTTCTTATTTTAAAAGAATTTCTAAATAAACTCCAAGCCACATTTTTATAAGGGAGGATGGTATTTGCAGAAAAGGTCAAGGCTATAACAGTCGGCATCCTTGGAGATAGGAATTCTCAGCCCCTGCAGCTTCCCATAATTTGTCATGTCTTTAAACCCTCAAGTCCCCATTTTACATTCCTGATCGAGAAAGACATGAGGTTTTGATTTCAGAACGAAATGCTCCACTGGCTGGGGATGTTTTTTCCCTAAAGAAAATGTACAGAAACAAGGATTGTTAGGACTTCACTAATTACATGGTTATGCTTAGCCACAGCCCTGTGCCAGGACCTGTTAGTGCTGGGACTGCAGGAAAGGACCTGCAAAGGACCTTGAGAGGCATCAGTGAAGCTGCTGCCTCTGGGGAGGTCCAGATGCACCCCTTTGCATCCTCTCTCCATGATTCAGCTTTGATTGGTCACAGGGCAGGTGACCATGATGGGTGATGCAGGCTCATTGCTCAAGGCTTGAGATCTGCTGTATCTGTCGCTGGGGAAGCATGCAGCAATTTCTGACTTTAGCAGGTGTGAGAGAAGCCTTTTCTGCGAGAGTCTGCGAGGAGAGCATGGAAACACGAACATAACTAGCAGTGAAAACTGAGTGGGATTTGTGTTTCTGGTGAGGTGTCAGGAAATAGCTTTAAAAATGCACTGCTCGGAGGCTTCCCAACAAGTTTTAACTATTCCTTCACCTGGGAAGATCGCTGCAGTGAATTCATCAGGGTGACGCAGCAGATTGCTGCTCTGGAGCTGCCTCGGCTCTCGTGGCACCTCCAGGCGTGGGCTCAGGGAGGAGAGCGAAGGGCAGTGCTGAGGAAGCAGTAGAGATGAACACAGAAGCACTGGCAGTAGGTTTGACTCAGCTCACTATGTGGGCTGACATATGTAAATTGCTATATACATTTGTAAATGTTTTGGTATGCCTGAGCAAGCCAATATCTGGAATTAATTTTGTTCTTTTGGGAGGCTAGCAGGGAGCCTGTAGGAGAATAAATCCAAATGGACCACATGTATGAATCTTGGTGGGATTTGTTTGATTGGATGAAACCTGTGTATGGATGTGCATTTGCAATCTGAATTGCCTTGATTTGGTTTTCCTTACCTCACTTGTAAAGTGACTCAGACCAAATTGAACTGAGATCACCCCAGTCTTGAAGCAGACTTATATGCTGGTATTAAGCATATTTTAAGTTGTAAACTTCCGAGGGTTGTGCAATGCAGAATCCCTGCTCTGCAGTGTGGTTTAGGGCTTCTTTTTCTCTCTGTGCTTCTGTACTTTTAATGTCAGCACTCTGTTACTTACCTTGCTATTTTGTGAGATGAGATGCCCTAAGGGAAGGTAAGGGTCACTTCTCTATCACTAACATCTAGCCACTGTTTGGAGCAGAATGCAGTCTCACCACTTCACGGTTCAGGAGGTGAAAAATAACTTTTCTAGCTGAAAGTGCAGGGAGGATGGTAGAGAGCAGAATGCAGTTACCTTAGCTGCATCACAGCTAAGATGTGGACCAGCCCTGCTTAAAAACACAATGGGATCTTGTGTGGTCCAACACCAGCACAAGCTGTTCCTTAGCAGTAGCCTGAGTGCAGCTGGATCTGAGATCACATCCACCAAACTCTGTGACATCTCTGCTGGCAAGATACACTTTCCCGTTGGTGTTTGATGTCAGTCCAAAGCAGGATTATAAAGAGCTATTGCACCTAAAGGCAAAGAGATGCCACAGGTCCTAGATTGCTGCAAAACACATTTAGGCTTGTGAAGCCCATCTCATCCAAAGGCTTCAACTGGCTTAGTTATTTTTAAACCCCACAGAAGGAGTGTTAAAAATGTGCTTTTTCATGCAGCCTTAAAAAAACCCTGTGCTTTATGTTCTGAGGTGCTTTCTCATAATTTCCCCATCCCCTTGCTGCCTACACCCCGATGCTGTATGAAAATGCCTTTGGAGACAACACAAAGTGCTGTTTCTGCAAATTGCTTTTTGTGCATCTCAGGATTTTGCTTTTCTCCTTGGCTGAAACTCCAGGAAGCATTTAAAATTTGGTATCTGATCACTGCTAGGATGGTGATGGGGTGATCTGAGGGAGAATTACAGCAATTGTATGTGCCTGTTTCATCCCTGTACAGAGCCAGTGGCTGGCACTTATTGATACGCTATTAACAACTGACAGTGGAGATCCAAATGAATAACCTGTTTTTAAGGTAGAATCCTAAAGGGATAACTCTTGCTATTACACAGAGCAGGTCTTTTATACGTGCAGGTCAAATCTTACCAGCTATTACAGCTTTTGGAAAGCATTGCTGTTGTATTTGTTAATGGGTCCAGTGCTGGGGACTGCTGCCACCTTGCCACTGGCAGGTGCTGTAGTCATCCACAGATCCCTTTCCCAGCCCTGATGGGATGTGCTTACAGGATGCCGAGTTGCTCCTATAGCCAACCTGTCTGACCACAGTGTGCCACCTCCTAAGGGACTTTTGTAATCCAAGATCATCAGGGCAGTGAGAAGAACAAACCCATCAGTACCTGCATCCCTCTACTCCTAACCTAAATACAGCCTAATTTAAAGCAGATGAGGTGGCTCTGGCATGCTACAGTGAACCCAGTGCAGGGCTCCTGCTAAAGGAAACCTCCCAGAACAAGCATGGGCTTTTATTGATCCCGAGGAAGGCAGGAGCTTCTGCTAGCTGTGTTTTTCATCCTCTGGTTTGTCCCACATCTCCCCTTTAACCAATCTGCCAGGTCCCAGCCAACCAGCCATGGTCTCCATCTCCCAGGGGAACAACACACTGGTGTCGAAGTCTCCGCTCTTGCATCAGTTCTCCCCAGGATACAGAGTGAGGACTGGCTCCATCCCCACATCTGCCCCAGCCATGGCACCTCTGCTGGCATGGGCTCAGGGGGACAAGCAGGCAGACTACCTCTGCCCCTCTTGGCTGAAGCTGCTGGCCCAACTTCAGAGGGCTTTTCTTACCCCTTATCACATCAGCTGAAATTCCAGCTAACAAACCCAGCCGCAGACTTATTCAAAACATTTATTAGTGTTTAAGGAAAATAATAGTGTGAAAGGTACAGAGCTTTGTCTAAAGTCATATGCATTTTCTTTGTTTTTTACAAGCTTATTTGGCTGCAAATTCTACACGAGATAAAACTAGTATGTTTTTCTCCCAGAGATTTGGAATTAAGGACAGTTCACTTTTTTTTTAATTTTCCTTTTTCTTTTTTTCTCCTTTTAGTTCAGCACTTTAAGTTAGGACAGCATTTTCCAGGGTTTTCTGCTATAGTTTTCCAGTAGGCATTTTGCTTCTCCCATTATTTTCATTCCAGAACAAGGCTCATTCCAGATGCAAAGCGTAAAGGAAACATTCATATCTTGGCTTTTAAGCTAAACCTCCTTCATGAACAGCAAGTTCATAAGGAATGTTAATTAAAGCATCATACAGTATCTAAATGGACTTTTTTTCCTTTTTTATAAAGAATTAAGGCTATGTAGATGTCACAATAAAATAATCTCAGGTAAAACGCACCCTTTTTGTTAGATATGAAAGGTTTAACAATAAATAAATGATTTATGCTGTCAATAACATTATGGAACTGTATAAAACTATATTTACGCAGCTTTAAACATAAAAAAACCCATACTAGTGGCATGAATATATACAACACAGGTCATGACATACGCTTAAATTATCATAGCCAGCAGTGTTCTTTTTTAAATGGGGACACTATAATAAATAGAAATGTTAAATATTTACAATAATAGCATATGTGGAATCAGTAGATGAACACATAAAATCTTCACACACAGAGGAAAAAAATATTATGCCTTACACAAACATCCCACCCACAGCTTCCCTCCCTCCCCCCAATTTTTATTGACTAAACCAGGGGAATATACAATTTTCCCCACAGAACAAATGAATACAAGTAAAACTGTATGCATGCTGAGGTGATACGTTGACTGAGACATTCAAGGATGTAGATCTGTATGTTTGGTTCCCACTGATGAATCAGACCTCTAATGAGAGAGGGATCTTATTTTAGTTCAATGCAAGAGCATTATGTTGGTAGTGAGCTGTTGTTCCTGTTTTGTGTTTGGTTTTTTTTTTTCTTTTTTTCTTCTTTTTTTTTTTTTTTTTTTCTAAAACACTTGGATTGTCTTTTTGGTTTGAGCTTGTTCTTCATGGTGGCTATATGCCACCAAGGGGGAGAGGATGCTCACAGGAAACCCATGGAGGCACGCTAGAAACCTTCTTATGGTACCACCAGCAGCCACTTCAGTTTTGGAGCAGAGGAGTTAGCCATCAGAGGCAGGTCCAAACCAACCTTAGCGAGCTCCTCTGTGGGACAGGCTGGGTGCCTCATCCATGGCAGAGCTGTTCTACTACTCAACGGGGCAGCTAGCACTTGCACTGGCAAGAGCTCCGCTCCGCAGGTCAGCATAGTCTTCACTGCTTCAGTTCCTGGCCTGATCCCACCTCTTCCCAGTTAAGTTGAATGAAAATTTTTATCACAGAACTTAGCTAAAATGAGGCGGGATCAAGGTCATGTCCGTAAACAAAGACCTGGTGATCACATAGAGACACACCTTTTCAACTTAACTGTCCTCTCTTCCTTCCTACGTGGGTTCTATTAAAAGCAATGCCTATAACTTCTGCGGGTGGATACATGCATTAAACCCTGAATATAGCTATTAGGAGCTGTGTTCACTTAGCAGTAACTAAAATCTGAGTTGGAAATCGTAGCCAAATTCCAACACCCTCTACTGTTTATACAGCTCCTTCCCACCATGCGACATGACGTACGTTAGTTCACTGGGTACGTTCTGTCTCTACTGAACTGCCTTCCTGCCCCCACAGCTTTCCTCCCAAACTTTCTAAATGAGAAGGCTCAAATCCCTGGTGTGATTCCCACTTTCTAAGAAAATTTGCTTTTTCTCTAGAGGAAGCTGAAGAGTTCACCCCTCTGTCCCTGTGGATGCTGTAACCTCCATTTCCACTACAATATCTGGGGATATAGGATTGCAGATCTGCAACCTGAGAATTACAATTGCATAGGGGGTACGAGAGATGTGTTCAAACACCTCATTCACACTTAAAACTGGTTAGAGGCAATAAGCTCTTGACACTCTTCATTTTTACTAACTCATTCTGCAGAGATTGGTGGTCATTATTTGCATGACAATTGAAAAAAAAAAAACCAACAACCCAAGTCAACCCCTTCTCCTTATCTTTGGCATTTGGATAAACCACAGCTGATAGGCAGGTTAGAACGGGGGTCCACATCCTAGCAAACCATGCCGTGCTGCTGCTAAGGAGATTTATGATGGGTCTTCAATGCAGTCCTGCAGAAAAAACATGTATATAGGGTCCTTCACTGTCTGAGCCTGTGCCCACCCTTTTAAGCTTGGGCTGGAGGACCTGTATCACTGAGCAGACAGGTGTAAGCAGAGAATGTGCACAGGGTTTTAGAGGTCCACCAGTATACTCCTGGGGGTCCTCCCTACTGTGCAAGTCTTAACAGTCATGTTGCCTTGCCTGGAAGCTGACTACTTGCCTTTGATACGCTGAAGTGACTGGATTAGCAAGTGTCAAGTTATGCAGTGGTTAAAAACCAAACGGGGGCACTTAGACTAGGCAGCATCACCCAGATGGGAACAATGGCTCAGAAGTTACTAAGAGAAAGCGGTGGAGCTCCAGACCCCACAGTTCCTGTGCAAGAGATGGGGTAGCTATTTCATTAGAGAGTGTCACATAGAGAGCCTTGAACTCTTGTGTTCTCAGCCACAGACAAGAAACCAAATCCCCCTGGAATTCAGCCATCTGCTGTAAGGCTGTGCCCTAAACCTTCAGAGGTGCTAAGCCACAAGCAGCCACATGCAGTCTGGCAGAGCCCTCTTGGAACCTTCTCCCCAGACAAGGGGACCAAGAAAAAAAGAAGAACAAAACAAAACAAAAAGAAAAACAAATCCTCAAAACAACCCAACAACCCCCAAACAAGATCCTAAATTTCAGCTGATATCCACTTCATAAAAAAGGGGAAATGAATTTAGCTGGAGACATTTTGCCACACTTGGTGGCTGCTCAAGTGTTGAGTTTGCTGGATCTATAACCCATTGCCACTGCTCTCCCTTTGCTACTATATACACTGTTGCCGAGGTCCGTATATATCTTGCAATGCCCTGTGCTTGACCTCTGAATGGGAAATGCTTTGGAATGTCCATAGACGGGAAGATGGGACTCAACGGAGGAGGTTTCCAGTGAAGGGGAAGGATGGGGGAAACGGGGACTTGGTGCCTTTTTTTCACCTCCGGATGTCAGAAAAGTCGGACAGTTCGTCTGCCCGGTCCATGATCCCATGTACCCCTTTGGGACCATGGCCCCCAGCTTTCACCCGGGCATGGGCGTTCAAGTGGCCCTTAGTACCTCTCTCTGCCTTAGATGCTCGTGAGGTCTCCCTGTGGTCGGAGTCGGAGTGGGCCAGCATGTCCCCACGGCCAGCACCAGCTTTGCTGGCTTCACCTGCCTTCTTCTCTGGACCCAGGATGGTGTCACTGTGCACGGAAGAGGTGCAGAAGCTCAGGATGGAGCAGAGACTTCCCCAGTTCTGTTCGCACTGGACCTGGACACTTCTTGTTATTGCCTTTTTCACCTCATCACCACAGGTGAGCAGGATGTTCACTAGATCAACGTATGGCCTAGAAGGGAAGGAAACAGTGAGAAAAGGGTCAAAATAATATATAAGGGTTATCTATCAGTGAACAAATGCAATGGCCTCTCTGCCTTATCCTCCCTTGTGCACAGCACAGTTCAGCAGTGTTATTCCCATGCTACCTACTGACCTGGCAAAGTAGAGTTGCTGCTACAAACCAGCATATGTTTATTATGCAATATATCATATTCTAATTGGCCATACTGCTGTGAGAAATGCACATGATGGTATTCTGTCAAACGAAGCTTCACTCAGGTGCTGAATCTGCCTTCATTTCTCTCCCACTGGAGATACTCTGGGAGTCCACCACAGGAATACATGAGGTCTACAAGCCTGGCAAATGGGGCTGCCAAATGGAAGAACTGCTGTCTCACACCTTCTGCCACTCTCTCTTTCCATGGCCATCATTTTTATTAATCAGGATACACAAGAAAAGAAACCTGCTCATGTTTAGAGCCATCTACTTGATGGAACAGCTCTCTTATCTCTGGGTGCACAGCTGGTACAGAGCATACACTGATCATTGTTATGCATTGGGAGGCATTTCCTCACCTCTGCAAGGAGCAGAAGATACTCAACTAGAGGTTCCCTGGCTTTTCTCATAACCTTTAGCTTTCCCTGGAGCACCAGGTGCTGATCTCCATCACAAGCAAGATCCTATCTGGACTCAGGATCCAGCTGCACAGAGCTCAGACACATGGGAATTCACTTGGTGTAGGAAGAAGCAGTGCCACCAAAGGTTTTTTTTCCTTCATTTCCTCAGTCGAGTACAGCTTTCAGTACGTACTTTTTCCCAGCCAAACAAGGAGCCCAAATGAGCTATGGCCAGATACCATTTCTGCTTCCCCCCATCCCTCTGTGCCCCCACAGCACAACGCAGCCTGAGCACAGGCACTTCCTCAGCCACAGGTCACCGAGTGCAGCGATTTTAAAATAGTTGTGGTCACAAGTTTTGTGGGTCAATATTGATGTTGTCTATTGACACAACCGCTCAGCTGCTAGCAGGCCCAGAAGGACGTGCTTCAAAGTCTTCCACAGCAGGAACCATCCACAGTGCTACAGAACTGGCTGGGGCCAGCAGTTGTGGCTGTATAGAGTGCTTGGGGTGCACCTTCTGGGCACCAGCTCTGGTGGCCCTGGACCAGTCTCAATCTATTCCCAAGAACTTAGACAGAAGAAAACAGATGATGATCATTATCTGACGCTACCCTGGTTTTACTTTGCCCAACGGCTTAAACACATTCTGAATGACTAATCTTGGAGAGCCACCTATCTCACAATATTTCCCATGTTTGGATTGTTTCTGCTGCTTAGAAAAAGTTACTTGGAATGCAGCACTGACTGATCTGCCAGGGCCTGTCACCACTTCCACCATAGCAAATCAGCCTGACCCCCACCCCACCACAGCTGACTCAGGAGGAGACTTCAGTGCCCCAGTCGTGTTCCTCAACACTCATCGGGAGAAAACAGAACAAAATAATCAGAGAACAAGCCTGAGAGCTCCCACTTCCTTCTTAGGGTTGGCTTTAAATGCAAAATAGAAGATGAGAGAACTGAGCATGTTGCAGAACAGAGAAATACAGCAGAAGGAAGGAAAAAAAAAGATAGAGAAATCAGTAGTTGAAATTTGGCACAACCTTTACAAAAATCTGTGTAAGAAATAGGTTGCTGGTATGACTAAAAAGTGGCTCAGCTGCCAAAAATTTCAGGTATTCAGCCTGCCAGAGCCCTGTGGATTAATACTGGCCCATTTCTCAGTCACTGTTTTACTTTCTGTATTTCAGCTGGCCTGACCAGAGTACCTGAACTGAGCACAAGGCTGCAAGTCAGCAGACGTGATTTTATTTCCAGCTCTGCCACACTTGCCTATTGAGCTCAGACAAGTTCCTTAGTTCAAGATTTAAGACATGGCCTCTAAATTTAGGGGAGGGGAGGAGGCTGGCTGGCTTCTATTTGGGGAGTCCTGCATAAAAAAGCTATGCTCCATCTCAGTGAGATGCTGAAGTGCAGAAGCATTAAATGAGATCATGCAAATTACAGGTGTTCAGCTGAATGACCGGTCTCTTCTCAAAACAAGACCCCCTAGTTATGCTCCCAAGAAATAAGCAGCTGCGTTTGAGCATTCCTGCTTTAGACTGTTTGTAAAATAAGGATCACTTACTCCTCTTTGGACAGGCTTTTGGCTCTCATAGTTCTTCCCATCCCCAAATGATGGGGGGGAAGGGAGGTTTAATAGGTGCCAAGTAGCCAATTTATAGCCTACTAACACAGTCTGAGCAGCACCCACAGAGAGGTGCTGCTGTGCAGGACGGAGCCCCTCTCTCCCTCTCCCCCTTGCCTGCAGGATGCTGCCCTTCACTCTGGCGAGGCCTGGATCTGCCACCAGCTGTACCTTTCATCTCAGTGTCAGGAATGTCCACGGAAAGGGCCTTGTTTTCAGGCCATCAGCTCATACAAACCACAGCAAATGATTCTGCATGTGAAAGTAAACTGGTATTGAAGTGTCTGCAACTACAGCTTAAGTATTAGGAGGGTAGTTTTCAATAGAAAGTAAGGGAAATGGATCACAGCTCCTTTGGATACCAATGCAAATGCAAGGCTAGTGATTATGGAAAGAAAAAATAAATTATCTGCCATGATTGCTGGGATTTGGAGTTTCTGTGCTAATTCCACTAGGGATAAAAAGGCATAGAGGTGTGGTAGGAAGATGCTCTAAGGTTAAGCCTGGTGCCAGGCTGTGGCTCAGCCTTCTTGTTTGGGAGTGAGATGTTCACCTGCAAGAAAAACAGGCTCCAATTTTCGCATTTGTGCACAAAGAGTTGGTACAAACAGCTTGTGCCTGGTTTGTCACTGTCATGTAGCAGCTTTGATCAATTCCAAATAGGATTCATGCCTGCCATTCCTCAGAGGGCAGCTCTGTTCCCAGTCAGAGGGATGAACGCCTCAAAATCTGACTTGTGCCTTCATTTCGTACACCTCCATGTTTTATTAAAAAGCATCTGAGATTAACAGAGAATAAGATGAATGGGAGATTACCTGGGGGACTGCAGCTCTTTCAGGGACAATTAGCTACAAGATATTTGAAAGTATGTATTTAAAGAAGAAACCATTATCTGGCTGACAACTTTGCATAGACCCTCTTCCCCGTTCTCTTCTAGCTGTCATCTTTAACAGGATCCTAGGGTCAGGAACAGTGTCTTGGAGCTCAGAAAACACAGAGACATTGTGAAGTGCCTCTGGAAATGGCAGACACTGACACTGTATTTGCCAAAGGACCAAGGAGACAGCCAGGTCCAACTTCAACCCATACCATCTTTCACAGTCACATCTAGCCCTTGTAAATAACCTAGCCTTCCAAGGCCCCTGCAAAGAAAGCATTACCTTGGTGTTGTACATGGAAAAACAAGACATGCTTAAGGCCAGAAGGAGGTGAAACAGCTCCTGGGCAGATGCACAGCCCATTGGCACCATCATGCTCCTGGAAGGAGCTCCCACGCCTCTGACTGCACCAGCACGGAGGCACTTACTCATGCTGCAGCAGGTCTTTGAAGTGAATCATCTCCACAATGACCTGGACATTCTCCTTGGCAGCGGAGCAGAGGTCATGCTTCAGGTAGCACTCCCGCTGTAACTGGAACACCATCTCTTTAATGGCAGGGCACTTACGGCTGATGCAGCTGAATTTATGCCTCAAGGCATGAGCCTTACACTTCAGAGCGTCTTTAATGAAGGATTTTCCCTGAGAAGGAAAGAAATGGAGTAGGTCTGTATTTTTGTCCATTAACCACAGCAGCTGATTTATGCCCAGCCAGCTGCTCCTCTGTAGGGCAATGTCAAGAGTTATTAGATTGTTAAGGGTATCACTTAATAGCTTTTCCCCTTCTTTTCTTTGTTTCTCTGCCCTTAAAGACCATGCCAAGTTACCCAGCTTTGCTACAGTGGAGTTGAACACAGGGTTTCCCCACTGGTACTTTGAGGTTTCCTTTGCTCCACTAGCTGAATGCCCAACAAGGGAAAGGGCAAAAGTGAGCACCTTGAACTGATTCAGTGCTTGAGTTATTGGCTTTGCTCACTTCTGGGGTAGCAGCAGGCTCACACAAAGGAAAGGGCATCCTGCCATGGTTGAAGTCCCCAGGACCAAAAGCAGATACACATTCAGTAACTGAAAACAAGGATTTCTTTAAATTTTTAAAATCAGTTTGCAAACTCATACACATGTATGCACCTTTTATATGCACTTGCCCCACTCCCCAGCTGTATTTTTCCTCTATGACCACTGCCTCAGTGAGGGACTCAAATCAGCACTAGCAATAATCCTACAGTGTCTTGATGCCTCCCTGCTCCAAGAAATTGTGAGATTAAGAAAATCAAACCAAGAAACTATAAAAGTAAGTTGCAGGAAAGCTGCTTTAGTAGCACCTCTTTAACCACTGTTTGGGATTTCTTCAGTCAATTCTTTAGAGCATATCAAAACCATCCCTTTCTTTTCTCTTTGCTGAGACTACAGCAGCCATATGCAGGGCTTTTATCACAGTCTGACAGCTCTGCTCAGAATTCCTTTATGCTGCTGAGCAATAGGTGTACGGAAGCTTCCTGCACTGCATACATCCCTTTGTTAGCTCTGGACTATTTTACACAAGTGCTTCATGAAGACCAAATTCTTGTTATCCTTTATCCAAGGAGTATATTGGCACAGCTCCACTGACATTAAGATTCACTCAGACCTGCAAGCAGATGTCCCCAAACTGTTTCAAGCCAGAAATGTTTCTTGCTGAACACAGAACTGCTTCAGTCATCATCCCTTTCAATTCCCCATACCAAAGGCACTTGCTCTTCCCTTCAGTAATAAACATACTCAGCATGGTAGGCAAATAAGGATAAAAGAAAAAAAGAACATTCTTGTATAAACCAAACCTGACATCAGTTCTAAGGTTTCAGAGTGAGGGAAGGAGACCAGAAAAGCAGAGAACAAAGTGGCCAATGTTAGTCTTGTCATTAATGCAGCCTGAAATAACTACAGATAATAGAGAGATGAACCATGAAAAGTTGTGTTGTAGAGGCTAAAGTCACCTCCATATTGACTAAAACTCCATGGGTTTAGTACTTCTGTAGTGAGACAGCCTGGATGTGAAACAGGCTGTATTTGACTAGCAGCAACTGGGGAATAGGCGCATCAACGGCTACACTCAGCCTTCATAGGCCCTTTTATTTCCTCTCCCAACAGGCCTTACTTCTTTGGTCAACTCTGTTCACCAACAGAATGTGGTGCAAAAATAAATCAGTGTTTTCTGGAAGCCACTTGGAAATTTAGTTGAAGATTTTCAAATACCCACAGAAGAAACCATTCCCATTTCAATGGCTTGCCAGACCCTTCATGCATCCTTGAGAAATTGAGCCTAAAACTTCAGCACTTCAAAAGCATTTCCTACTGGGTGGTCCCACCACGTCTCATGGAACAGGCTGAATCCTGAACACAGCTCAACTTTTTGCCATGTTTTTAATAGTGCCATGTAGCTGGTGCTTTTAGTCAAGTTAAACTGTAAACTACATGGTCAAGCCAAATGCTGCTGGCCCGTCATAATGTTCTCTTCCCTCCACACTGAAATGGGAGAGTAGGTTTACAAGACATAATAACAGGATGTCTCAATGATGCATAAATGGTCTGGGGAGAAAATGAAGGAGACTTAATACCGCATACCATCTAAGTAACGTATTTTAACGTGCTTGAACCAAAGACTTATTTGAATAGAGCAGCTTTAGGAGGTTGCCTGTACTGGTTGTGTGCGAGTCTTGAGAGCCAACTTTAGTAACTGCACATTGGGAAATATTTTGATATGTCTAAAGGAACTGGGAGCCCAAGCTGCATTTCAGAATCGGCTTTGAACAAACATGGTGTAGAAGCTTAAGCTGCCTAATGTTTCTGAAAACCATGTTCAGCATTCCTATTTAGTTATTCTGGGTACAGTAGGTGGAGGTGATCCAGGGCGCTGTAGCTAGAGACAGCCTGTCTCCTGGGACAGGTTGCACACCCCTGTTCTGTTACTGTTTCGGGGTCTTGATTCTGGACCCTTCAACAGAAATATTCTTAGGTCATGCGCAGAAGCAGATTTGCCCTGTAACGGTAGCTCTTTTTTGCAAAGATATGTTAAGGAACTAAGATACATGCCAAGTATGTATTAGAAGCAAGCAGATACGTTGGACATTTCACCATGTTACCTGGGCATCAAATTTTCCAGCGTTGTGCAGGAATGTCATGCAGATCTCATGTAAGCCTCGGATCTCGCAAGAATTGTTTTCAAAGCATTCAAACACTCCGCATCCCACATCGCCAGCATTAACCAGGCAGTGCTGGATTTCAGCTAAAATGAGCATTGATTACAGTTAATTTGAAGAACTGTTCAGAGAAGCTGGTGGTGGGTAAGGGGAGGGAGTTATTTTGCCAACATCATCAGTTTGAAAGTAAAAACACGCAACAACAGCTCTTGTACGCACAGCATGCCCACTTCTCACAGAAATTAGGCCAAAACTTGGGTGTATTATGTTATGAAAGTGATACCCGAGAAGTAAATGCCAAATCCACTATACTTACATCAAGCTATTTCACTTGAGAGCTGTCTAATGCTTTTGCATTCCTCAGGAGCAAAGGATGGGCATGATTTTTGCTGTCTGACTTGTACAAAGCCCCCCATCAACTTCCAAGTGCCAAATGAGAAACCCAGGACCTAGCCAGCTAAAACTTCTAATTTCTGGTACTTTGAGCTAGTTTCTGGCTATTAGCATAATGTTTTTTGTAGACCACTGGGTTTCCCCTGTGGTGATGTCTATGAAGTTAATGGCAAAACTTCTACTGATACAGTCCTTTACACTGAGTGCTGCATAGAGCTGCAACTATGCAGAATGCAGAAATGAATTGAAAATACATATATATTTATATATGTAGAACATAAAATAGATGTACTGGAGCCAGCCATTACACGTGTTTGTTCTGCCCTTTCAGATGTTATGTAATACTGTAAAAAAAGAATAAATAAAAAATACTGCCTAATACTCACTTAGCAACCCCCCCCCCCCCAAATCTGATTCTTAACAGACACATTCTGGTCCTTAAAAAAAAAAAATTAAAAAATTGATGTAGTAGTACTGCCAGAGGGAAGGTGGTTGCTGAAAAAGCCTAGGGATAAAGTTAAACAGGGGTAGTTTTTAGACCAGAACTGAGGATGCTAAGAATTCCCGTACTCTGTGCCCTAGTGGTACCTTTAATTAAAGCTCGCCCTTGGGAGCCTGCCTAATCCCCCTCCGAACCGCAGCATGCTTCAGACGTCCCCAGCCCCCCCCCCTTTGCCATGCGGTCCATTTGCAAGTCTTTACAGCAACTTTCGGTCTAATTTCAACCCGCTGCAAGGCAGAGAGAGGAGCCGCGGATGGAAATGCGGAGTCTGAGGGAGTTCCCATGCCCTCCCCCCGGCTCAGAACCAAATCACTGCCGCTGCATTTATTTTTCCCTCCCCCTCTTCTACCTGCCCCGAAGTGCAGCGCTGGGGGAGGGACACGGGGTCGGTTCCGGGGGTTGTCTCGGCCACAAGAGAAAAGCTGCGCAAACACGCACTGGAGGGGGGGGGGGGGGAATGGATGGAGGGGGATGGAGCTCTTTGTGGAGCGCTGCAGAGCGCGGAGCTGGGCTTTTTTTGGGGCCGGGAGCTCAGCTGTAGTGCTTGTGTTGGCATCCGGATGCAAACCCTTTGCCGGATCACATGTCCTGGCTCCAGCGTGCTGAGAACTGCACAGTGCCGTGATTCACATGTGGCAGTCCCTAATGGGCATTCGTGCATTCCTGCTCGTGTGTGTTTAAACACGTTTCGCAGCACTGAGAGTGTTAAAGGGAGAAGAAAAAAAAAAAAAAAAGAAAAAAAAAGGCAAAAGGGAAGGGGGGAAAGAAAGGGGAAGGGGGAAAGGAGGGAAGCGTCTGGATCCCGCGCTCTCTCTTTGCACGGCTGGGAAGCGATCCAGCGAAGTGCACGCCTCAGCTTTCTTTCTTCTAGGCAGATAATACCCGGGGGAGGGAGCGCAGGGGGCGGGAGAGGAGGAGAGAAACCCCCGGCCCGTTGCATCATTGCACGACTCCCTACGGAGGAGGCAAAGCACCAGTCATTTCCAGCCGCTTCCCCTTCCCTCCCGTCCGTCCCCGTCCTCCCCTCCTCGACCCGGTTTCAAACGCTGCGCCGAGAAACTTTCTCCTCGGCAGCCCCTCGCCTCCGCGGGCCGGGGTCGGGCTGCCCAGGCGCTTCGCCCGGAGCGCGGCCGTGGCTGTTGCAAGGGCAACACGTGCTTGGCAAAGCCGGGCTTTAAAGGTAATTAGAAGGGAGATCTTATTTCCTCTGATGATTTATGCCTGACAGTCGGACGCCGGAATAAAACGCCTGTCATAACTCCATTTCCCCGGCGCTCCAGAAGCGGTGGGTGAGGGACACACACCCCAGCACCCCACCTTCGCATCCCCCTCAAGCCCTAAGCCGTACCTGTGTTTTGCAGGGACAGGCGCCCCTTCTGCTGTGGGGTCCTGTCCTGCGGCCCCTCCGGCGGGTGCGTGGCCTCAGTGCCCGCCGCAGCCCGGGCGATGGCGAGCAGCAGGGCCAGGGCCAGCAGCTTGCCGCGGAGCTCCGCGCACATGGTCGCGCCTTCCCCCCGCCGCCGCCGCGTCCTCCCCCGCGGGGTGCCGCACCCCGGCCCAGCGCGCTCCTCGCCGCGGCCCCGCGAACCGCATGTGCCCGGCGCGGCGGCGAGCGCGGAGTGGCGGTGGCGGCGCCGGAGGGTGCCTCAAATATCCCCGCCGAGCCCCGGTGTCACTCGCATGAGGGAGCCGAGCAGGTGTCGCTCCGCGCCGCGGCCAATGGCAGCCGCCGCCCCGCTCCGCCCGCCCGCCGGGGGCCGGCCCGGCTCCACCGGCAGGTTGCAGCCGCCCGCCTCCCCCGGCCCCACCCGCGCCGCGTCGCGGGGGATGGGCGTGCGGGGGGCAGCGGGTACGGAGGGCACCCGGCGGGGGGGGGGAATGGTGGCGGTGGTGGTGAGACACAAGTTGCTTCCCCTCGGTGGTATGGGCGGGGTGGGGGCAGCGCGGAAAATAAGGTGGAAAAGCGGGATTTTGACAAGAGCGCTGCTTGGGAGGCGGGGGAGGAGGCACTGAGCGGCCGGTCCCCCGCAGCCCTAGGGCTGGGAAGGGAACTTCGGGAGGAAGGGGGAAGCAGCGGGGGTGCCCGTGCCTAGAGCTGGCTGCCCGCGCCGGCCGTCCTGCGGCACTGCCGTCTGGTTGTAAGACTTGATTTGAAAGAAAAGGAAGAAAAAAAAAATCCTTCTCCGAAGCAGCTATTGCACTGACTTTCTTGGAAACCCTCCACCCGCGCCTCCTTTTCTTTTTTCCTCCTTTTTTTTTTTTTTTTTCCCTGGGGTTTTGTACCCTGCGAACTCTGGGTGGATTTGGGCCAAATCCATCACTTGGGTGGGGGGGGTTGGGGGGTGAGAAGGGGGTCGTGGTACCTGAGGGCGGACCCGGCCGAGTGAACAGGGCCGAGCGCTGCCTTCCTTACCAAGTCCCCCTACCCCCCCGCGGCACCACGTGGGGAAAGCATCACTCCTGCAAAGCGCACCCCCGAGCAACCCCCCCGGCCGGCTCTGGCTGCTCCCTTTGTCCGGTGGCTAAAGCGGGGCGAGGGGACGGGGACACGGGCACGTAGGAAAATCTCGAGCAGGTGATGGGAAGTGCCCGTGCCGTCTTCCCTTGCCCTGCCGTAATGCACATCAGATGTTTCATCAGAACCCGCGGGTCCCGCCTCCCCCCGCAGCCCCGGGGCGCGCTGTGCCGTGCCGGGGGTCCCGCCGAGGGGAGGGGAAGCAGGGGGAGCCCAGCCAGGAATGTCTCCATCTGCTGCTGCCGCCCCTCTTCCTCACAGCTGTCAAAATGCACTTGAGGAAATCCACTCACACCTCCCCGAGCAAGGGTCTCCGCGGCGGGACGTGACACCGCGCCGCAGGACCATGGCTCCGCGTCTGCCCCCCTTCCCTTCCCGCATCCCCCGAGACATCCCCGCCGGCCCTTCAGCTGGTTTAGTCCCAGGCCGGGCGGTTTGCTTGCTGGGTCTGAGCGGTGCAAAGTTTGTTTGTCATTCTTTAGGGTTTCACTTTGAAACATCTTTTTTTTTTTTTTTTTTTTTTTTTTAAGGCTGAAATTCTTCGCGGTGGTGCCAAGCTCATGTGGAAATTCCCTTTTATCAATACGCTGAAGTGCAACTTGCAGCTTTCCTCTAAGGAACTGGCTGCGCCAGTGTGGATGGCTGCAAAGCCCCTGTGCCTGGGCTCTGCCACTTTAGACAGCGGGGCTGTTAAAGGAATAGGTTTTACTTCCTCATTTTTACCTCACCCTGAGTGCCCGGTGGCCCTTCTTTTGTTCGTGGTCTCTTACTATGATACTGCTGAAGGATTTTGCCATTTATTTGCCTTTGCTAGGTCTAACTAGGCTGACTTTAGCAATTCCCATCTCCAGTACTTTAAGATCAGGACTGAATGAACTCAGGAGCAGCATGGAGGGAGTACAGACAGGGGGATTTAAGGGACAGCAGTTTTTCTCTGTAGGAGGAGGTAACAACCAGTATACTGTTCCTAATGAGCAAGTTTGTATTAAACACATATATTTCATTTTTTTTTTCTTGTGCCTCACAAATTGTGCTTCCTCTTAATGCCTTTTCCCTGCTGCTTTAGGTCTGATGCCCTCCTGCAGCCATTTCTCATCAATCTTGCTTTTAAAGTTACAGTTTTTGGATAGGTTTTGCCCTCTTGACTGAAAGGAATTCTGTGCATCCTCCATGTGCCAGACCCCGGGTTCCTCCCTCTGGTTCGCTTTTCAGGTCTCATCATTTCTCAGAGCATGTCCTTCAAACCACACAACCCTGGCTGCCCTAGCGCAGCTCATCCTCTCCTTCAGCCAATATTGTATTAATTGCTCCATCCAAGGTTATTTTCACATCTTTTCCTTACCAAAACCGTGCCTAAAATAGCACCCCCTCGTGTCACTGGTGAAGAAATCTGCCGGCTGTCAGCACGCTGGGCATTCCCCATCCTTTCCTGCTCAACAGGCATTGCTGGGTGGTGGGTGGACTCTGCACGGTAGGATTTTTCCCTGCCTTTGTCCCTCGAGGTCACTCATCAGGGTGCTGCTGGGATTAGAGGATCTGATCCCACTCAGCCCTTCCTTAGCAAGGCAATGAGCTGTGCCTGCATTTTAAAGGTGAGTGCTGGCAGGGAAAATGCGCATGATACACAAGTCATGCTCCAGCAAATTTGGCATCTTTTGGAGCGTGGCATAACTTGCTCCCTGGCAGCACAATTGATGGCCAATCTGCGTGCCGGGTAATTTTATAGAATAGTTACCAATTCCAGTGATTTAGAGGCTGGTTTCCAGGAGACTTGGGATGCCTGGATCCCTAGGCACTGTGCCTGCAGCTTTGCTCCAGCAGCAGGGAGCTTGCGTGGACACCAGCGCCCGATTGCAGGATGGCGTCCGGTTGTGAGGCGTTTGGTGACGTGTTTGTGGAGTAACACTTTGGAGAGGACCACAACTACTTCCAGCAGTTGTGAATGACTGTTGGCTTTTAGGAATACACTTTTGAGTTCCCTTTAGCTAACCTACATAGGTTTTACTTTTTAAGAGGATTTCATAATTTGATTAAAACTTTGTATGACAAAGCAGTAGCATGATGAAGCAGTAACATGAGCGTTTTGCAACTGCCTTTAAAGGGGAAGCATTTAATTGTTTGGGGTTTTTAGGGAGATGAGCTACTCTCATGTTTATTAACAGGGCTGTGTCCTTGCAAGGCCGTTGCAGGCAGGTAAAGGCTGAGGAATGCTGTGCAAGAGGCTCCAGCGCACAGGGAGAGAACGAGCACTCCCAGTTATGAAGGATGGAGAGGCTGATGACTTCAAAAGGGAAGAGGATGCTGTGGGGAAGGTGTGCTGAGGTCTGGATTCTGTTTTTTTTTATCTGTGACTAAACACATTTCACAGTAGAGTTGGAGTAAGCTGTGCTGTGCAGCCCCAACAGCACAATGGGATTTCATCAGCCTTGAGAAAATAAGCAAGGCAGGGGAATTTACTGTTGCCTCTTCTGCTGCGTAATTTCCCCACCTCAGGGCTTAGTGCAAGGTGCTGACTTGCAAATGACACATCATTACGAAGCCAGCCCAGAGCTGCAAAGCATTGCTGGGAAAGTGGTCGGGAGAGCAGAGGAAGCTGCCTCTTGGACTTGGTTCCTCCTGGTGTGGGACTTGCTCTGGGAACGTGTTGATTTAATTCCCACAAGTTGGTTCTCGGATGGTGCGAAGAAAGCTGCTGACAGTGACTGAAATGGGATTTGACACTGGAGAACCTGTTAGGCTCAGTAAATGTAGGTCTGCTGGGAAGCTTCAAAGGGTTGTATTTTAAGCCACTTTTCCCCCATCATCGTTGATTTAGTATTTTTGAATCTCTGGTAAATGTAGTTTTTATGATGAATGAGCAGAAGTTGACAATAAAGCCACCGAGAATGAAATGTGAGAAAAGTCAGAGCTAATCATATTTAAAATTATACAGGCTTATTTTTTTTCTTCATTGTTTGTGTAAAAATCAAGTATTTGAGAAATGGGTTTCAATGACTTATGCACCACGTTTAAAGATGGTCTGGCTTCTTTGATAAAATATGAACTATTTGAAAGATTTATGAGTGTCAGAAACCCTGCCAAACATTTTCGTATTTAGAGCAGCAGGAAACCGCTCTGTGATATTTTTAAAACAGGTATTTAGTCAAGTAATTGGTTACTTTTTATGTGGAATAAGAAAATCTGGTGCAACTGTATTGGACTTGACGTAAAAGACAGGTATGTAATTTGTGAGCAAAACAGGCTGGAATGTACACATTGTACCTGGGGAAGTATTTTGAGAAAGACAACTCCTTGAGACAAAAAGCCAAACCAACAGACACGCTAGCTTGCATGCCAGGATTGTTTATCCCTCAGTTAATCAGCTGTGTAATGAGTGTCCAGAAACAATCCCTTCTGCCCAGGTAGTTTAAGTTTCAAACTTTGTAAGCTTTGCGGCCTTCATAAAATGGATTACATGGAAGTTGGATGAAAAACACATGTTTCTGAGAACATTTTGGTTCAAATACTAATAAAAAAACAAAAAGTGGCAATGTCAGTGCCAACAATTTACTAGGGAATATCTGAACCAGATGCCTCTAAACTATAATTCCAAGCAATTTGCCAGAATTATGTATTTGCTTTATTCTTTAAGTCAAACTAAAGATATGCATGGTTTTTATTACTTGTGGATATAAACAAAAATGTGATGTGATTACAAGTAATATAAGGCAGATAATGCCAAACAGTCATGATTTCTGTGACTGCTGCACTAGCTAAAGCAAAATGGAAGCTCTGCTGGCGATTATGTGCAAAAGGGTTGTCAAAATGTGACTGTTCAGATTGAGACGTATCAGGCTGCAATCTGCTTAGTCATCAGATAAGAGCATTGGCTAAAACATCTATTTCTCCCCTTTTCTCACATCAGTGCATTCCCCCCCACCCCGGAGAGAATGGGAAAGAGATCTGCAAAACATGCTGAGTTACATTCTTAGCTAAAACAGTGTGCAGAAGGGACTCTTGGTAGGAGATACTTGTAGGCAATCTCTGACTTGCCAGTTCTTATTCAGATGAGCTGCTATCTGATGTTTGAAAAGACAGGCATTGACATCAAAATTGCCATCTTGAAAGGACAGAGTGAGTTTTAGCAGGAGTTTTTATGACATTACATGTCACTCAGGTTATAAAGGGTTCTAGCTGGCACTCCCACAAGCTGAAACAATCT